CATGCGAATCTTACATTACAAGGATACGCTTACGTTATAAAACAATAACTTACAATACTATCAGTTCTTACTTATTTACTTATTTTTTTACTATAATTACTTATAAATACAAATTAGTCTGTCGCAATAACCTACAAAACTACACATAACCCATTATTAATTACTTACAATTGCAATACACATTTTGATAAAGATCAATCAGTAAAGCAAAAATAAAAGCAATTTTTAAAACATACACTACTACTGACAATGACAATATTATTAAGAAAACATTACTTGCAAAAAGAAAAAAACTACAATTATGATACGCTAGTTGTATATACAAAGCACTCAATAAAATTTATAATACACAGTATAATAATATTATAAAGTACATTTGTGGGTGACAATATGCACACACCTGCATTGGAAGAGTCCCAAGTCCTACAAATCTCTTAGGATGTTTCTTTATCGTCTTGGCGAGATCATCATTCAATATGCGGCACAAATCCAAAGTGTCTTCTGGTTTGGCCTTAGAAATCAATACAGCAAACAGTTGAAGTAGAATTACAAACTTATTTTTATCGCAAAACAGCTTCTGTGATATGAATGGGAAACTTTACACACTTACCCAGTAACTAAACATAACTGGAACAGTAGAAAGAGCTTGTACTGTGACACCTGAAAGCAATTAAAACCTTACATGACTTGACAGTAAAGACAAGCACAATGTAATGTAACTCTGACAAATCTACAACACACACTGACAGTACTGGATCAGGATTTACAATAGGCCATGTTCGATATAACAATATTCTAACATCACCCCAAGGCTTTCAGGACAAAATAATTATTGCCAATTTGTTGAGTTTATTTTGTCCTTCAATTCCCAAATAAGACTTGGATACAAAGAAACCACCAGCAAAATGTGGACTGAAGCTTGTCCTGAAAGCCTTGGAGCCATGTTGGAATAACGATATATCGCACTTGGCCTATTCTCTCTCACAATGTTATTACACCCTGCTGACTTCACTCTCACTTCAATATTGAAGTGAAGAGTACTGCAGGCCACACGAACTGTTCCACGTGGGCACCAAAGGTACATGCATGACCATGATTATAAGCTCATCTGGAAATTTTGTCCCCTTTACTTCTTAACATGAAATACCAATTTTATTTGACAAGTTCTCTCTGATTTTAGAACATTCCCTTTTTTTTTCATATTTAAAAATTTACAATTACATATCATTATGTACATGTACCTTCAAAATCTCACATCAATTGCCTAATAACAATGTATAGATAAATATTTATTGCAGTTTGATATTAATCACTGCTCAACATTGATTACCTGTTGCATCCATATCTCTGATTCTTGCCTCCGGTGACCAGCAGTTCTCATCTATCACACGAAAAAGGTTTCCATCCTTCATCATCTTTGCCTTGCCCTAAAAACAAGACAATATTAAAGTTTAAACTGCAGTAGTGCATGATGAATTTGAAAATAAAACGGCTTATGGATCTTGCATTTGATTTTCCTTCCGCGCAACAGTTCGGTTACCTATGAGGATTGCAATTCCAGAAAAATTATAGTGAGACTGGAATCTACTGTCAACTCACATTGCAGTGGTGATGAAGTTGAATCCAACCTCCATATCCATATCGCTAGAAAGCAAACAAACAATCATTATTTCAACAATGGTTTGCAGAAATCTTAATTGGAGTAGCTCTTGGACTGCAGCAGACTTAAAGGGCCCTAGTTTGTATAGCCACACTTTTGTTTTTGTCACATGCATGCAAGAGTTTGGCTATCATATTTTATTCGGAGCATGTCCAAACAAAGGAAATCACTGTGAAACTACTAAAGATAATTAAACATACTTTCAGGAACACAACTTACAGTAAAGCAATAAGATTTCGCTTCACCATGTAATACGAATAATTTCGATGTTCGCCTACAGCGACCTCAGCTAGACAGTCCGTTGCATTACAAGAATATTATCAAATACGCTGTACATGACTCTCTATAATGTACATTGCGTGTTATTTGGATTTAAAACAAAAACATTGAGAAATTTTAGAATTGTTTATTTTTCATTGACAGCTTTGTATAGTCTTGGAGGCGGGGAAGGGGTGCGGTGTATGACGTTTTAAAACATAAATATTCATTAAAGTACACAGAAACAAACGTATAAACTGTAACAAACAGTATAACCCTATGTCTTTTGCTGTGATTTTAAAATGAAGACAACAAGGTCACTGAGAGAAGAAAACGATTTGACATTTCGACCGCAAAATGTAAAACTTGTGTTGTGTTGTGTTACGTTACGTTACACGCAATATGGTTTTCTAAATTTTCCGCAAACAAATCAACTCGAAATTGTTTGATCTTTCCTACCATATGAAAAATTTAGGTTTCCCAAGCTAGTAGAAGGGCATTATAAATTATAACACAATCACTAACAACTTCCTAAAACAGGGTTGCTCCGAAGCGTTCGATATTTCAGTCCGTTTGATAGGCTCGATCACACCGTAGACTCAGTTCAGTTCGAGTATCTCTGAAATTGGCGGCAAAATAAGTACTTACCTCTTTAAGATCTGGCCATCTCTCGGGTAAAATATGATTGTGAATATCAATTTTAAAAGACATCAGTCACTACGCTTAAAAATCCGCTCTTACAACTATTATAAATAACGGTATGATCGAAGGTGACCCGACTCGATACTTGCTCCGCAACACAATGCAAGATGGCGCCTCTGAAGATTGCGACAGAACTCGCCCCAGTCCTAAGTCGAACGCTCGGACAAAAAAGCTTTTCGAGGCAGTTCCATGCTGTACTTTTCGTGTTCCTTCCTTGATGCTCATTAAAAAAAAAACGTTTAAAAACGAAGAAGAAGGGTTTCTTTTACATGGTGGTCTTCTTTGAACAGTATTGGCCACTTTTAGGGACATTTTCTTCAGAATGGTTGACTTACTCTTCGCTTGGGGCGGGCGGTGGTGGTGGGTGGCGATAGAAGGGATTCGCCTACGTTTTTGCAGAATCAGTGGTGTATGGATATCTGATTTATCAGCAAAGTTGAAAGAAAGGTGAAGCTCGACTTATCGCTAGTTGAATAAGGGCAGCCAGGTGGTGGGTTCCTGGGGCAGCAATATGCTCTAACAAGAGACAGGCATCTATTGCCTTTTGAATGATTAGCAACAGTAAATATTACATGTAAATGATCAATTAGCATTTCAAACAATACATGAATAAACTTCTCAGCTGGACAAAAAAAATGTCTATTAATTATCTGTTGTCCAATTAGTTTGTTTATGAAGTTCCGCTGTAAGTTTCTGTCTAGCTTTTTTCATTTTTTTGAAGCCATTCAGACGGGTTCTTACCTACGTACAAGAGACTATGATCTTGTACCTGTGTGGTTAATCTAAGACATATTTCGAGTCGGATACATTAATAATTCTACCCGAACAGTTTTATGTCTCTGGGAGGCGCACAAAACGGATGGAACTTTGGGTCGATTTTTGCCCTCACTGACTACCCTATCAGTCAAAACAAGGGGACAACAAAACCGCATACATTCATTTCCTCATGACACACAAATTTTCAAATAGACTTAACACTCAAAAGCACAAATAAAATGAAAAGAAGATTTTTGTTAACGATTCTTTATGTCTCGTTGAAAATTTGTGTGTCATGAAATGATGAATTAATGCAACCATCAACAGGAAACCTCCTAGACTTATCATCTGAGTGAAAATCTGTCTTATTTGACATGAAGATGTAAACAACTTTTCCATCCAGCGATGATAGAAATAAAGGCTTATGATCTTGCTGTGTGTTTGGCTTTATTCGATTCTTTGAAAATACTTGTAGATCACTTTCTTTCTTTCAATTTCTTTATGAAAACCCGGCCCGGTTCACTTCCGTTTGATCGTGACAAAATTCTGGACGTGAACACCTGATGACCCGAGGGGGCTTGTGGGTGCAGTAATGGAATGTGTCTGAAGTGCGTGACGGCCTTCGGTGGGAATGGCAGAAATTTATGAGTTTCCGGCGACGCTTATAAATTCTGTTTTTTATCTGCTCGTGTGATTGCAAAGAAAAGTCGCCACGGGTTGCCGCAGGTGAGTCTTAAAAATCTGATAACACTTCAGACGTTTGTTGGTGATTCAGGTTGCTGTTAAAATACTCAATCAAAAGGATTTTTTATCAACAATATGAATTGTGGTCGACGCGTTTTGCCGTGCCTTCAGGATTTCCAATTCTTTGCGCCATAATCCTATTGCCTTAGCATTCAGCTTTATGTTTCTCACATTAGGTGTTCATAAAACTATTGGTGTTTCGTAAACACGATCTTGATATTTTTGTTCCTCTGCGACGGCACATTGTTGTCAACAGACTCTTCAGCGCGCGTGTTCTCCTGAGTAGACATTTTGTCAACCTGAAACTCAACTTTGAACCTTAATTGCCTTGGAAAAATATTTACAACTGTCAGCCAAACAGTGTGGAATCAGCTTTCCACTGAAGGACCAGCTGCTTGTATACTTGATTTGTAATTGACCGGTGAGGAGTTAATTTATTCACCTAAAACGAACCACAAAAGTCAATTCGTACAGGGAGAGTAATTCATTGATACAAACTGCTGCCGGAGTGAAATTGAAAGCGTGCTGCCCGCGGATACAAGCTTAATCTTGGCATTCGCCTTTTGTGATATTCTCTTCTTAAATTGGTAGCAAAGTAGGTAGGTTTTGCCATTATCTTCGTGAAACAAAGAGTGGCTTGTTGTCAAATTATGCTGACTTTTGTTTGCTGTTGTCGAGGTGAATTTGTTCATTCAGTTGTGAAAGAACGAAAAGTAAAATTTGTGTGGTTAGCTGATCGGAAGTTCGAGCTTACCTTCGGGCGCTAGAGAATTTTTTGTGGTAATTTTCGTCGTTCTTTGTGTCTGGTATAGACTGAGAAATGAATACAGACAGGTCGTGTATAAATTTGGAAGGTAAGTCAGAAGTGCGGACAAACACACATTTTATTACGCACTTCATTGAAGAAGAGTGTGGTTTTCATTGTATGATGTTCTAATGTTTTATTTAGACCTGCATTCTCATCAAGAATGACTACAATGCTTTCTTGCTGGCATGAGCTTTACTTTTTGCATTAATTTAGATTCAGGTATTGGACATAATAATAAACTAGGGCGAAGCAATTAAGCTTCATGTGCCATAAGTCTGTCTTTTGAATGAAACCTTTCGTTCCATAATGGTCAGTTTTCAATTTAATTTTATTTCCTTTGCAGGAAAATGGGTGCTCTCTCAATGCAATTGTGTGTTTTCCTTTGGGGGTTGTTTCTTGGCGTTTGCGGTATGTTTTAAATTCTTATTTTAATGCGGTTGTCTATAGATATTCATAATTACAGACCATCGAAAAAACGGTTCCCTTTTTGTCAAATATGTTTTAAATGACCCCTTAGCCACATTGTTTTTTCGAGCCATTCTGTAGCCTGTGATTTAAGTAGCCAAAATTTGCAAAATGAATGATACATTTATTCGAGCCTGCTGGCATATCTCAATAATTTTTACGCGAAATGCAAATTTATACAAGGCTTTTTTAGAAATCACTGATATTTAAATTATGAAAATATCGTGACAGACAGGTGACGGCCAAGTTGATAATTGTCACATTTTCAAAAAAAGAATTGAAGCAAAGAATCAAAACAAACTACAAATTAGGAAAAAGACTTATTGTTTTGTTTTGATTTGGAGAAATTTGAATTAAAGCTTTCAGAATTGCTCTATGGGGGGTAGGGGGATGTGCAAGTTTTTGATGTTAAGATATTAGGTTGTTTTCACATTGGATATATATATATATATTTTTTTTCGTCAGAAGGAAATAATTAGCACATTTATGGGTTTTGATATAGAACTTGGCAGAAAAAAAAAAAAAACACAGAGGAAGCAGCATACTGTAAATGAACAGAGAATTGCAGAATATAATATATAGAATGCTCTGCAAATTATACATTCTATTAGCTAGGTCAAATCATGTTTAAGCTAATTTAGTGTGCAGGTCATTATGATACCATAATTTTTCAGTTATTAGATAAAGTTTATTTCTTTGATTTGATTTAATTTTTAATTAGCATGCTAATTCTCTGTTGTTCTTTGAAGAAAAAGAAAACAACTTAATATCTTTCCCCTAGGCTTTCTCTGTGTTCGAACATTTCTTTGTTTCTTTTCAGCAATAGATGCACCAAATATTATTGTGCTTTTAAGCTACATTTATTTCAATTACAAAATTATTTGATTGATCACAAGAGATTTGAGATGGGGAATACTGCAGTGATTTTAAGGCGAGCAATTATTTCATTTTGTGTATTTTACTGTTGTTCCAAACAAGATCATTTAACTTGAAAAAAATACTTGAATGACTAATTTATAATATTATTACAAGCAGGTAATTCAATCTCCAAGTATTGCAATCTCCAAGAGAAAGACCAAACTTTGGTCCCTGCGACTAGTCCCACAAATTCAAACCAGTTTGGATTCAGATTTTCAATTTTTGGGACAAGCCGCTGGGACTTGGTCCTCAGAAGGCCTTGTGTGAGCTGTTCCTCGGACAAGTCCCTGCAAACAGTCCCTTCGTGTAAACTGTTCCAGGAGCTAGTTGCAGGGACTAGTCGCAGGGACTAGTCGCAGGGACTGGTCCCCTC